TCCATAATGCCCCAGCCTTGCTTACTAGAGGTTTTTGGGAGTTGTAGTGTAAAAAATCGTTTTTCCAAGCTCTGAAAGAAAGCTACTTCCGGAATGATCTGAAATGGAAATAAATGTTTTCAGTGCTATATATGGTGCTATCCTACCTGAGTCATGGTTTAAATAGCTAATAGCTGAAGGCTGTTTTTGATGAAGGGACAAGAAATGTTAAATTTTGGAGCAAGGGATGAGTGGCTGTCCAGATGTTTCTGAATGACGACTCTCCTCACTATTAGTTACGCTGGCTAGTACTGGTGGGAACTGCAGTTTCACAGCATCTGGAGAGCCATAGGTTGTGTTCCCCCCTCCCCAAACCTGGCCAAGGTGATGAGACATGACCTGGCTGAAGAGAGAACCTAAATGTGAGGAGGGTGGTCATCACTGTTTGTTACTTGGCTTATGGTCTTTTGGTATGGTTAATTAACATCCCTCCATATTTTCAGCATTGTCTTTTGAAATGTTATTTAATGAGTGGCTGTTAGGAAAATCTTGAAAAATTAACATTCTGTTTGGAATGTGTTGTTGAAAGGGTGACTGATTTGATTTATATACATGGATGTTACTGTTTGCCAACTCTGGTATACTCTGCGCTCCTTCAAACACAGTTTCCTCTGTAGGACTGAAGCAACTCAGGTATTAACATTACCCTAATACTTTTAATATTCAGCAGAGATATTAATAGAATTATCTTTAATATTTAGAGGAGATATCCATATAAATTAAAACCCAATCCAGAGATGGCAGTATACAGAAGCAGGTTCTTCTGCTGATGTACACATTCTTCTGTTTCCAGCTACTTGGTAGTTCAGACTCGGGTTCCAGGCTTTCTGCCCTGCTCTAAGCACTACCATGGCACACCTCCAGATGTGTCAGACAATAGGCCCTATCACTCTGGCAGGGATGGGAATTGCAGTCCAGGATACATGGGGATGCACCAGGCTGTACTGTGCTTGCTGCTGAGGAAAGCTGTTTATGGAAGCCTCTACAAGGGCAGATTGTAAAGACTCAAATTGTCCATTAGGCATCCTAAGCTTGAGAGTCACAGTCCCAAATGCTCCCACAGCTACCATCTTTGCTTGACTTCTAGGCTGACCTGGCTGCATCTCATAAGCGCCTGAGCTATGAAGTGCAACGCCTCAGTGCTGAGAATGAAGGGCTGCGTGGGGCTTGTTCCCCGAATCCCTGCCCGACAGAGGAGGAGAAGAGGAGCTTGCCGGACAGCGTCCAGGTAATTCCCATCTGCCTCTCCTTTGTGTTGAGGTGCCAGTGTGGGAGACTAGGATGAAACAGATGGAAGATGCAGCAGGATATATAGGGCTGTTTTCAGAGCTTGGGGGGGGGGGGGAGACTTTGGACTATGACTTTCAGAATTCTGCTGGCCATGATGGCTGGGCAGTTTTGAGAGTTGACATCCCAAAAAGTAACTTTTTCAAGTGGTTGTGTTTCCCATCTTCCTGCCTCTCCAGGAGCTGCAGGCCTTGGTGCAGCACCTGCGACAAGAGTCTGCTTCCCAGCTCCGGGCTGCAGAACACCAAGCTGAGCGCCTGCGAATTGAGATCGTGTCCCTGCGGGAGCAGCTGGATGAAGAAGCCGTGTCACAGGCGGGACTGCAGGGGGCACTAGAGAGAGAACAAGAAGAAAGAGGTGGGCAGGGAAAAGCAGTCTGTCCAGTGCAATGATCAAGTGGGTGGTCTGACTGGCGACAAAGACAGGGACACTTGGAATTGGCATATGATGGATTTAAAAACCCCCAGTGCATTTAAAAAAGCAGTGGGGAACTTTAAAGAGTCTATCAGCTACCTGCAGCCTTTCTGTAGGCCACACCAGCCCCTTCTTTAAACCTTAAAAGAGTGTGTTGGGAGCTTCTTTTATAAGAGAATTGTGCTTTCTGGAGGTGCAATTGTCCTGTATAGTTCCCCCCCTCTTAAATAATGACTGGGGAATGATGGGGGACCAAGCTACAAGACTTGGAGATATGCCCAGTTAGCTCCATCCTTGATTTTGGAGCTAGATATCAAAGCATACAGATCCAAAATATTTTTCTGCGATTACAGTAATTCTGCGATGTGACTAATTTTCTTCCTTTCTCTCTTTTCATCTTCCTTTCCTTTCCTGCTGCTTCTGGCCGGAAGAGCTTTTGCAGGGTAAGCTGTTCTCTAGTTCCACATCTGTGTCTGTTGCTGCAGTAGGAGGTTCAACATTGTCATCAGGGCCTGATCTTCTTTTCCTTCTCAATCACTAGCTTCCTTGAATAGTATCCAGAGCGAGATGGACAGATTGCAGCAAGGGCAGGAAGAGATGAACAGAAGCCATGTATGTTGGAGGTTCTCTTTGCTTTTTTTCCGAAGTCTGCCAAGAACCATGTCACTTCCCGAAACCAGCTGTCCATGTTATTAATCGCAACTCCTCCTCTGGCTAAGTACCATTCCTAGTCTAGAGCAGGCCTGCTCCTTATAGACATGCTGGTTAACTCAGTGGTTCAGGCATCTGGTTGCAGAGCCATAGACTGGGAGTTAGATTCCTTGCTACACTTCTTTGACAGGGGCTGGACTCGGTGATCCGGAGGGTCCCTTTCAGTTCTAAGGTGATGATACTACCCACCAAACTGAGCAAAACACATGTATGACTCCTAATTGCAGGTTCAGAATTGGACTCGGACCTAGTTATTCCGTTAATTTAGTTTAAGCCCTACTAGTTTCAGTGGATCTGTTCTCAGGATAGTTATGTCTGGATCTCACCCTGAGTGATCAATCATGCTTAATGGTTGGGATTCCAAATATGAGATGACCATTTATGTGGCTCTTGGGGCTGTATCTGACTTGTCCCTTGTGGGAGCTGAGATCTTGTCATCCTCCTTAGGTAGCCGGAGTGATATTTCCAGGAACAAACCAACCCAAAGCAAAAGGGGAAGGAGCAGCAGGATGTACCTTCGTGCTCTATGATCACCCAGAGATTCAGAGGATTGAAGACCACCTAAGTGGTTCCCTCCTTCCCCAGAACCATTAGATACCCCCCACAAAAGAGCAGAACTTGGAAAAATTGCATTCTTGGCCCCCCACATTTTGGGGTACTATGGGAGTTATAGGTGCAAAAATAACTTTTCGAAGTTCTGGGGGTTATGCTAAAAGGGCCCTGGTGATGCCATGCACAAATGGGGCCAGTAAAGGTTTCTCTGGGCTCATTTGGTTTCTTTCCTCATGCTCTAGGTACAGACAGATGCTCCCCCTCCGGGAGAGGCTGGCAGCCATCTGGATAGGTCGGAGCTCTAGATGGAGGACCAGAGAGATCAGCCCTGCCTTCTCCCCTCTCTGCAGCGGTGTGGAAACCTCAGGGAAACTGCAATCCACCAGGTGCCCAAAGGGGCCAGCTTGTCATCCAGAGCCTCTCTCTGCATAGGTTAAAAGAGCAATAACTCAGGAGGCCGGGTGGCTGGTATTTCACACTCCATGCCCCCTCAGCATTTTGATTGACACTGGAGCTTCCTGGACAAAATAAAGAGGATTTTTCTACTTGTTCCTGTCCGTGTGTTTCCTTCCTTGGACATGTGCACTTATAGTAGGGGATGAGATGGTTGTTGTCACACACAATTTCATTGTCTTGGTTATGAACCTCTCCAGGTTCAATTCACAAGTTGAATTTCCTGCTTGATTCCTTGGATCATAGAGATGCACTGTAACTAATAGAGTTTGGGGAGGGACTTTTCCCTTCTTCATAAAGAGAGGTCACAGAGCTTGATGGTGCAGTAATTCAACTGCAGTACTGCACTCAGGACTCCGCTCATGACTTAAGCTTGACCCCAATGGTCCCTATTTATCTACTTGCATTTGCGTGCTTTTGAACCGCTAGGTAGGCGGGAGCTGGGACAAGCGATGGGCGCTCACGCTGTCACGTGGATACGATCTTACGACTGCTTGGTCTTCTGATCCTGCAGTACGGGCTTCTGTGGTTTAGCCCGCAGCGCCACCACATTAAACCTTGTTAAACACTACATCACCTTGTTAAACCCCAGGACATTTTGTTTAATATGAGTTGTAGCTCTCTTTTAACACATATATTTGGTCATTGTCAATGGCCACTTTGGATCTTCATCAGTACGTCAGATCTTCCACCCCAGGACATTTTGTTTGGCTCTTCGGGGTTTTTGCAGGATTCGACAGGAGCCAGCCTTTCCAGAGTAGAATAAATAAGTTTCCTATCCCCCTTCAAAGTCCTAAGGCTGTTTCTCCCCAAAACCCACAAGTCTCTTTCAAATTATACCACAGGCTTTCTTGTTCTGGGCTGGAAATATTTTTGATATATAATGTAAAAGGGAGTGATGAAATTCCCAGACTCAATATTTGAAAGGCTATGGTAGAATACCTCAGGCTCCTAGGCCACATTGTCCCTGGACGTAGAGTAGCTGTTTATTCATTCACAACTTGTTTATTCATATGTAGCTTCGCAGTCCCAGAGCACCATCAGGAGAAGGAAAAGGTTAACTACTTCTAAATACTGTACTCTGTACCTGGAAAACCCTGAAAAGGGTCACCCTAGGTCCAAATTAACTTGACAGCACATGATTATTGTGCTTATATCCAGATGTTCCTCCAAGGAGCAGGAGGCAACCTACATGTTCTCCCCATTTCACCCTCAAAACAACCCTATGAGGTGGATCAGATAGAAGGCATGACTGGCCCAATGTCACTCAGTGGCCTTCATTGTATTGTCAGCAACCAAACTGACTGAAGATTCAGGGAGATGTAGTCCAAAAAGTACCTTTTCTTAGCTATGCTATAAAAGCTCAGGTGGATTAAAAAAAAAAAAGAACAGTATGCAAAGCAACCTGGAATTTAAGTCTCCAAACATCATTATGGTAAAATGCGGGTTTTCACCTATAAACCTTAAGTGGCTTGGGTCCAAGCTATCTAAAAGATCACATCTCCCTCTACAAGGCTGCCACCGAGCATTAAGATCATCAGGGAAGGCCTTACTCTGTCCCACCACCCTCACAGGCATGTTTGGCGGAGACACAGAAGAGGACCTTCTCTCTCATTGCTCCCGACTTTGGAAAAAAAACCCCACCAATTAAAATATTTATTATTTTAAAATAATAATAAATAAGTGTGGGCCAGTTCTATAGAGAAAATCAATTATCCCCGTCGCTAGGTGTCGCCTTTCCATATTGACAGGAAGCTCGCTGTAACTGAGTGCGGCTTGGCCGCTCTAGGCTCTGGAACTCTGTCAGCGGGAATCGTCACTTCCGCTAGAGCTAAGATGGCGTGCCGTGGTGTCTTAGTGGCGGCGGGAGTGC